GGGGGGGGGGGGGGTTAGGGGGGGGGGGGGGGGGTGTTGTTGTTGGCCTGTGGTGCTGTTGATCAAACCCACGCCGCCAGAAGTCACCATGTTGGTGATGTGATCCTTACGGACAACCGGGAGGGTAGCAGGAACCGGCATGTTGCCGAAGTACAACATGTACTGCTGTATGCGTGCTGTATGAGACCGCTGCCATCCACCACCGCACATGTTTGACTAGGAGCCCGACACTGCTTTGCTTTGCACAGACTGTCGGCGTGTTGCCGGCGTTGCGCGGGATCTGTTTGGTGGCTGTTTTAGCTACGCATATGTACGTTACTCCACGCCCGGCAATTATTTTGTTCATTCTACTCACAGTAGTGGAGTGGAATGTGCACTGCTGCGGTCTGGGTTGCTCGCCCACGTCCCTCCCTCATTTTACTTGTAGTTGCTTTGTCGACGGCTATGCATATAATGCTACCACTTCTAAAAAGAAGTAAATTCTGCTGTAAGCGGATGCCTTTTACACTTGAAGTTGTTGTGAACCCGGTGACTCTGTATTATCGTCGTCTTGTCGGTCTTTAGTCTGCGGACACATGAGCCTACGCCGTTGAACCATCTGCAGATGGCACTTACCCTAAACACAGCTCGTCCTCAAGCCTTTCGACCTTACGGCAGTAGCACGCAACGGCGGTCGTGTTGTCGTTGGCCCGTACGTTGTTCGATGGTTGGTGGCAAAGAACCTGCTCTCGCGTTTCCGACTGACTTGATTCTTAGTCCGACAGCAGTAATTATTTTGGTTGCCGCTGCTTCCAGGAAAGCTTGTGAACCGCTGAGAGCATGTTCGTTCCCACACGGGAAAGTTACGCAAGAAAGGTCAATGATTACTTACAAACCCCGCACCTGCCACTACTCTTTCTCACTTGACCAATAGCGCTAAATAACACCAATACCCTTTGGCCTTACCTCTAATCATTTCTTCCAACACGATAAACATGACACCCCCCGTTCTGAAATCCCTAAATATGCATTTAGTATGCAGTATGCGAAGTGCAGCGGTATGGGAAATCGTTCCGAGGTGTCGATGACGTTACCGTTAACGAAGGCCTCACGACCCCTGTGTGTGCAGCCAAGTCTAAACCACGACCACCCTCTTCAATCCAACATGTATCAATTCGCATGATGTTTTTTTGTCGAATCGCCTCCATCGATACAATACCGCTCCTGGGGCAGCGGGGTGGCTTTAAGCAGTGACTGCAGTGACTGGCTGGTACTGGTGTGGGCTAGGGTGACACAAGAGCCAGCGCCCAGAGCGACAACAACAATATCTTGTTACTGGTATTTCTGCAAGACACGGCACACGGCAGCTTTTTCTTTTCTTTCACCGCTTTGTTCTTGCTCTTCGGGTGGCGGTTCCAGGACAGACTAAGACCCCGCGGGTGTTCGCTCCGTATTATTTTTCTCTCAAACCAAGCCAAGTTTCGTTCGGTCTGTGCTTGTTTGCTTATTTTTCGCTTTGCCTCTACTTGGAAGGTGACGAACAACCAGCTTACCTCTGAGGCGGTGGAGGTGGACGAGATCAGCGGCCGAAGATTAATTGTTGAGTTCAAGGCCTTCGGCTACTTCAAGCGCACGTGCCAGCTGGAGCTGCTCAAGAGTGGGGACTGCGTGTTTTCTAAGGGGATGGTTGCCAAGGAGAAGGGCGCGTGGCGTGTCGAGGTGAGCCGCCGACTGCTGCGGGACGCCACATCTTGATGTATTTTGTCCATGTCGTATACATGCAAGGGTTGCCTTACTTGCTCCCGTGTGACCATGCCATACCCCCGGGTGATCCTTGCTTGAGGTCAATATTCCCAGAATGGTGTAGACTGACGCCAGAACAAGGTGGGGGCGAGAACACGCCAACATACACATGCATCACATGCATCCCTCGTATTGTAGATGATTTGATGACCCGTTGGTGGAGTGGGGTGAGGTTCTTGACCTGTGTTGTGTCAAGGGAGTGAACGACACATTCGTCTAACGTGGTTACATCAGTATGCATAGCATCAGACAGGTCAGACACTAGACAGGCCTTGATACGGTCATTGGTGGTGTTGTTGCTTCTGTTGTTGATTCTCCCGGCCCAAGGTTTCTTGAAAAACGCACGGTTGGCGGCGGCGATGTACACAACGATACTATTGCAATAGGCATAGGCAGCGAATGTGAATGTGATTGTGAATGTTTTTTCTCATTCGACAAGGTGAAGGGTGAAGGCCCATCACGCTTGCCTCCTTTGCCTCCTTTGGGAAGCGGAGTCGCCCAGATGAATCATCGTGCACCTCATGACGAGAACAAGAGAACGAAACGAACGCGGCGCAGTCAAGGGGCGTGCTCGGTGTTGACTGTTGGTGATGTCAACTGTTGAGTGCCTGTTTTGCATTGCATTTCATGAGTGCATCAGACACGAAACATGAGACAGAAGAGGATCCCGGGGGGGTGGAAGGCGGGTATCCTTATTCTTACTTTGTGATGACATGGCATGTATGACGATGGTCGTGGTTTGTGGCCAGGTGGCCTGGCGCCAGGAAGAATGTCTCCGTGCTGATGAGGGGTCATGTTTCCGTCGATTATATTAATAGCCCGTCGATCCCCGAGTGATATTTTTTTGGGGTGCATTGTATACGTATTGCATGTGACGTGCATGCGCCAGACAACCCACCCTGTTCAAATGTGGAACGTAATTAAAGCGGATAGTCAGAATTTCCCTGGCGAAGAGGGTTTGGTGGTTAGGTGGATTATTTGCATGTGCAGATGATGTTTGTTTGGTGTCTGTGCGACATAGAACGCCGTCTCATGAGAGCTGTCAAGAAGCAGCCCACAGGATCCACTGAATTGCGACGACTAACTTGACGTGTTGGCAGTTCTGTGTGAGACCCAGGCTCTCTCTCTCTCTCTCTCTCTCTCTCTCTCTCTCTCTCTCTCTCTCTCTCTCTCTTTCTCTCTCGCTTTCTCTTTGACTAATGTTCTCTGGAAATGCCGCAGTGACTGTTTGTGTGTATGTGAATTTTTGTGTTAGCGTGGCGTGGCATGGTAATCGCGGGCGTTTCTCGCCGCTTGGAACTACATACTGCTGTACTAGTAAAGACGACGTAGTTGATTCCAAGCGCGTGAGTTCTTGGATTGTTTTCTTGCCGCAAAACTGTACAACTGGCCGACTTACAACCCGAATTTCACCGTCAGCTTGAACAGGGCTGTACGAATAAGTAGGTAGAGCTTGTGTTCATGAGCCCATCGCCACCATTTTCGATCTCCTGTTACTTGTTACATTATCTCTTTGTTGTTCATCCGACGTATCTCGCCGCTAACCAATATCCCCTTGGACGATGACGATGTTTCGACATGCACTTCACACCTGGCTATGATAGGAGGAGGAGGGTACGGACTACCTGCAGTTCAGCTGCCCGTTAACAGAGATGTACGGTGTCATGTTCGACGTACCGAGCGCCCTGCTGTTCTGGAGGGTACCGCTACGCAAGGGCGCCGACGGCAGCGTCGTGCTTCAGGGGGGTCAGATCATCAGCGAGAAGAATAGCTTGTGAGTTTCTTTCATGTACAATTGTTGTCATCACAAAGAAGGAAGAGTTGTGATTTTCTTGTGTTGAAGTAATGTAGTAGCACATTTGTAGCGTGTTAGCAGTGGGTTGAAGGGAAGGGAAGGGAAGGGACGTGGAGGGGTGCGGCAGGGTATGATGGTACACACTAGCACATAGGGTGGGATGGGTCATACGCGAGCGGTCCTTGAGACCGGAGAATGAGCACATTAAGCAGGAGATATGATAGATGGATGATGGAGAAGAAAGCCTTGGTCGGTTGGCCGATACTGTAGCTCGTCCGTGTGGGGAAACGATACAGCAGTAGATAGATTGGCTGCTGCCGGGTCTGCAAGCCTTCCAAGATGAAAACGAAAATTAATTTTCGACTGCTGTCGTACTTTGTCACCATTGGAACATAGTCAGAACCCAGCCGTCAATTTGGGCTGATCCCCCCCCGTCCACTGTATGCACACTGCTCTACTTTCATTGTGCTAATGCGCAATGTTGTTTTTTTCGGTGTAACAGGTTCGGTTTGAAGACGACTTTCATCGATGAAGGCACGTTCAAGGCGCGAGTCTTGGCAAACGACGAAGAGTTCCCAGTCCCCGATAAGATAGATTTCAGCTCCGTCCCGATACCGGTGAGCATTGAATTGTTGGCCTTGTGGCGGCTGTCGTTGGGGCCTGTTGAATGGTTGAAGGTGCTTCTTTTTGTTCTTTCTTGGCTTTCCTCACATTCCATTCCAACCAAGCATTTAAAGAAAGTCGGTGGTGTTCCGCGTGGGACTTGGGTCAGAGTGAAGGGAAGGGTGTTGATGTGATATGTTCTGTTCGGGATACTTCCTCGCACGACGCGTGTCGTACTTCTCCTCGTCGCTTGTATGCCCGTCTACCGCATTCCCCCCTGACCCCCTGGTTCCAATCCTACGAATACCGCATTGGTGATGACGTATGGGCAGCTCCTTGAGTTGAGTTGATATCCCTCACAAGTGTGTACTTGTATGTATACTGCTGTACCATCGCTCCACGCACCACCCCCTGACCCCTCCCTCTCAATCCATCCAGGCTGGGCTGGCAAAGCTCAAGAAGAAGGGAAAGGGAGGGATTATGGAGCAAGTTCCGGAGCCCCCTCTGCCAGGGTCTCGCTAACAGCTAACAGTTAACAGAAAACGTCAACAACAGCCCACACAAGACTCAAGACTGTGGTCGACGGACGGGTACGGACGGCAGCCTTAGGAACTAGGAACGGTGGTGGTGGCGACTGACCGAGTGAAAGGCCCGGTCTCGTTGCTGCTCGGCCTGTTCGCAAGTGTGTCGGTTACGTATGTTTCGTATGTTTCTCCCGAATGGTAGCGTATGACGTTGATGGGGTAGATAACGGAGCCATGAATTCGAGAATGGTTCGCTTGCTTCGCGGTCGTCTTTTAGGGGTCCCAGTGTGCTGACGGGATGGTGATTAGGGCACACACGGTTTTGTTCAAACCTTCTTGCTTACGTCCTTGGAGCACCCACAGCTGGAGACGGGAAGGACGACATTTTCTTGTTGGTTTGTTTTGATCTTGGTCAGCTTGTAGTCGGGCGAAAGTGCGCTTCAAGTAGAGTGGGTCGCCATATGCATCGCATATGGAATTCGCTTCCGCTGGCAGCTGCTGTCTTGATCCGGGGGGCTGTCAGCCCTCCCTCCCTCCCTCCCTCCTCGTTTTTTTTTTTGTGTATAAGGGGCGTTGGTAGGGTATGAGTGTGTTGTCCGTCATTACAAGTATTAGTACCATTCGAGGGCGGACAGCTTTAAGATATCCATTCGAACCAGCCACACGCTGATTTGATGGTTTCCGTGCTTTTGGGGTTGCAGCGAGAACCCTACACGCTACCGCTAGTACTACACTTAGCGTAGATTAAAACACGTCTTACCCACCTATAGTAGAGGAGTAGTATCGATC